GTCCCACTCCCTTGTGTCAGACATGAAAGAGGAAGATGCAGTGGCATTGTTACTCAAGAGTGCTTTACAGAAGGCCACAATCCGTACTGAACAAATTGCAACAGAAATTGTGAAGGTAAGACACTTTGACCCAGGTACTCATTCAATTTCTTAACACTTGCACAGGCATTGCACTATCTACCTCTGGCAATTGTCCAGGCTGGTGCATTCATATCAAAATCTCAAGATCTCGACGGCTACTTGGTTCTTTATACAAAGAACCAAGCACGACTACTTAGTGAAAAGCCTGCTCAGTCTCATGACGGTTATGCGTGGACGGTGTACACAACATGGCAAATGAGTTTTGACCGGCTCACCCTACCAGCTGCCATGTTCCTGCAGCATTGTTCATTCCTCCATTATAATGGGATCTCAGAGGGAATATTCAGCTATGCATCCAAGTACATGTTTCCTTCTGATGGTCCATCCCAAGAAGAACTACAGGAGCCTCTGAAATTCCTCTCACATTTTCTGGGGCCAACTGGTGAATGGGACTCTTTGCAGTTCTTGGATGCTACCAATGAGGTCCAAGCCTACTCATTGATTAGTTTTGATGCAGAGAAGAAGCTCTTTTCTATCCATCCATTAGTACATGCTTGGAGTCAAGGAACAGTCCACAATCCAAAAAGATACATGTCCACCATGGGATCTATACTTGGCATGGCTATTTCAGAGCGCCCACAGGAGGATATGCAATTGGCAAGTCTGCTATTGTGTCCCCATATCGACCTGGCTGTACAGATGGATGCAGAAGTACCTTTGGTTTTCAGGTATGACTATGCAACAATATATTGGGAAGGTGGAAAACACAAACAAAATGAGAAGCTACTGGAAGAAGTGCTGGAGACACAGAAACAGCTCCTGGGAGACAATCATCCAGACACCCTGGGTACCATGGGTAATCTGGCCAACTCATACTCCGGCCTGGGAGAGTATCAAAAGGCCAAAGAACTCAGGGGTATTCTGCTGGAGAAACAGAAACAGTGTCTGGGTGACAATCATCCAGACACCCTGGGTACCATGGGTAATCTGGCCAACTCATACTCAGACCTGGGAGAGCGTCAAAAGGCCAAAGAGCTCAATGTTATTGTGCTGGAGAAACGGAAACAGCTTCTGGGTGACAATCATCCAGACACCCTACATACCATGCATAGTCTGGCCAAATCATACTCAGACCTGGGAGAACCTCACAAGGCCAAAGAACTCAATTTTATTGTGCTGGAGAAACGGAAACAGCTCCTGGGTGAGAATCATCCAGACACCCTGCGTACCATGGGTAATCTGGCCAACTCATACTCAGACCTGGGAGAGCATCAAAAGGCCAAAGAACTTAAGGGTATTGTGCTAAAGAAACGGAAACAGGTTCTGGGTGACAATCATCCACACACCCTGCATACCATGCGTGGTCTGGCCAACTCATACTCACACCTGGGAGAGCATCAAATGGCCAAAGAACTCACTGTTATTGTGCTGGAAAAACAGAAACAGGTTCTGGGTGACAATCATCCAGACACCCTGCTTACCATGGGCAATCTGGCCAGCTCATACTCAGACCTGGAAGAGCATCAAAAGGCCAAAGAACTCAATGTTATGGTGCTGGAGAAACGGAAACAGCTTCTGGGTGACAATCATCCACACACCCTGCATACCATGCGTAATCTGGCCAGCTCATACTCAGACCTGGGAGAGCATCAACATGCCGAAGAGCTTATGGGTGTTGCACTAGAGAAACAGAAGCAGGTTCTCGGCGAGAATCATCCAGACACCCTGCGTACCATGGGCATTGTGCAGAGGAAATTGAGAAACTGTTAGGCAGTAGCAGAAAATGATGTAGTGATGAGTACACCCGTTGAAACAATTATTATTCATTCAAAGTCCCATATGTGCCAATGAAATGCTTGTGATGACTAGTTGAGGTGCATACAGAGTGAAATTATGTATTCATTGGATGGAAAAAGTAAGTTTGTGCAGCCACGCACACATGAGAGCCTTTTGTTTGAAGTTCCTCCAATCCAGGTGTTATATGCCGAGCCGCGGGGAAAAGGGATAGTGGAACAGTCAGCCGGAGTCGTACAAGGTACTCCGGAATAACCGGGGTTCCAGAGAGTAGGCCGGAGTAACCGGAGTCGACAAAGGGGATCGGCGGAGCTGCTTGACACAACACCACTGAGGCGCAGGGTGAGCGTGTACTGCCAGGTATCGTCTAGAGGAAGAGGAAGGGTGTGGGGGAAGAGAGGAGCGACTGACACCACTCCGGAAGGGGGGAAGCGACGTTTATTAAACTACTGAAGAACAGGGAGTATGCTAGCTGATTAAATAGTGTAGGATCCTAATTTAGTGTAAAGGAGATAAAGGAGTAACATGTGGACGAGCATATGGTTGAAAGAATAGGAAGTCCATAAGCGGTAAGAGAAGTTCAACCTGTATCAGTATTTATCTTTGGAAATGAAACATGAGGTGATGAAATCTGCCATGAGGCGATGGAAGGCAAGAGGGAACATGTGGAGAGGTTGTTACCACTTAATACCAGCCACGGCTGACCGCGAGAAGTCATTCAAATACTAATACCCAGTTTCCGGTTGGCTCCGGGTTTCCGGTTGACTCCGGAGTGCCCATAGAGAACCGGAGTGGTCTTGGGTGATGAAGACCATGGTCCAGGGGTGTGGTTGCATGGATATAACACCAGGTCCAGATATAACCGCGCTATTTATTTTGAATGGAGACCTTGTGTCCAGGTAGCATGCCACTTTTGTGCATTGTGCTAAAGCGGTGTGCACCTTTTTTGTCACATTCTGACCCCTCAATGGTATGACACCGTTGTAATGGCCTTTAGAGAGAGAAAAAGCTGCATGCCGCTTTTTCCACAATCAAAAAGCAGCATGCAGCTTTGACACAAAGCTCTCCAGTGACAGATGTGAGTTCACTGGTTTACCTGCCAAGTTTTGCAATGAAACACCAAAAACTTGGTCAGCTGTAAATTCTCACGTTTGAACTGCTATACAGCTGCCCCAAGCAAGATATGCACCTGCCTTATTCCCTGTTTTCACTTACTTCAAAATCCCAGCAAAGTCGACTGTCCCATCAGAGACGGGGAATCTGGCCACCTTAGAGGTTTCCCATCACCAAAAGCGGGAGATCGTGCCAATGGTCGGTGATCCGCACAATCGTGATGGCTCATTGGCAGTGATTGCAGCCACATTGCAAGCATTTCACCTACCATTGCAGACCCTACACCATGGCGGTGGAGTTTCACAAAGGTGTGCAACCTTTATCAGAGGCTTGCATGCCATTCCGCTGGACTTGGCCAGAACGCGTACTTACAACTTTTCATCATGTCTGTACAAATTAGTGCGCCGTCAATAAATCAAAATTAGATTAAAAGCCATGGACAATCCATACTACCTCAACTTAGCCCTCAACCACCCTCCAACACTCTTTGCCAGAACAATTCCTTGGACCTGCACCCGATATCTAGATTTGTGTGTGCGAAAGTTGGGCGCACCGGGTACTTAGCCACATACATTTCAAAGGCATCACCCCTTTCTTTTGCTTTGCTTGTAGCTTGCTGAGACTGGTTCAGGTCGAGTCACCGTCGGCGTTATGTTGTCATCACCGTCCGTGCACACATCACTTTCTGACAGATCCTTGATGGAAGTTGGTTGACTTTGATCCCACTTCCTTTCTTTTCGCCATCATCTGTGACTTTACCCCTTGTTGCTGGGCATCCTCAGGCACTTCCTCCGCCGTGTTTTCACCTCAGATGTCTTAGGGTACCCACCGTGAAGAGTCAGGAATCCGGTGTTGACTCTCAAGCCTATTACAAGTCGTGTTCCACCCGGCCCTTTCCTGATCCTCTGAGCTTCTCTGCAAGTCGTCGCGCCTCAAGTTAACACACACCGAAGCACCCATCACACCTGTTTCAAGCCCACTCCAGGCCCGCACCGTTGTCCTAACTCAAAGCTCAAAATACCTCAAGTCCTCCAGCGCACCTTCCACGTGCACTCGTAACCGCCGTGATCAGCCTCCGGCCTCTCACCTCAATATTCCAAGTCCTCAAGTAACCTCAATGCATTTCAGTCTATGTGGGCGACACCGTTTCGATCGCTTCTCCAAACTCAATGCGCAACTATCTGAAATACCGGCAAGCACCTCCAACTGTATGTCAGCGACAACGCCCAGCCCTCAACCTCTTCTCAACACCTCGCTGTTCAATATGTTCAAGCTAGGTTGTTCAAGACGTTCAAGCTGGGTGCTCAAGACCTCAATGGGATGTCAGGCCCCTCAAGGCCGCAAGCTTCAAGATGATCAAGTCCACACAGTTCAATGTCTCAAGTGTCAAGATGATCAAGGTCAATACACAATCAACCCGAACACCCCCAACGTTCTGCTCGTACCCTACACTGGCTCACCAATGACCTCAGTATGCCGACCCCTTGGATATACTCAAGTGTACCCCAAGTGCACGCCTTGATATCGCTGTATCGTCGCCTGTGCCTGGTGATTCTTGTAGTCCAGCATGTTGCACCTACTAGTAATCTATTTTGTTTCGCCCTATCATGTCTCGAGCATCATCGCTGCGATATTTAAAGCAATTGTGCTGATATTGATACCTGAGAAATGTAGTAGTGGTTTTATATTGCTTTGCAAAGTGCAAAAACGATTGCAGTCCTCGCAAATCTTTGTGAAGATTGCAGGAAAATTGGTCTGGTATAAGTACAGGTTAAATGTCACAAAGCTTTTGGACCTTTACATCAGATTTTGATGATTGTGGTGATCTACATGTGTTTATAAGGTCTTCCAATTATTTCACCGTTTTCGCGATGCCCTCGCAGGTTCCACTGCAGAGAATGAGAGCTTTACCGCGAGCTGAATCGAACAATTGGTCTTGGGTCTTTCACATTTCTTGTGTCGATTGTTGGTTTCCGTGAAGACCATAGCCATTGGTGCAGTTTGCAGTGATAGACCTGGTGGCATAACTGGTAATGCGCACATTTACGGTAGGAAGGGTGACCCATAATCTTTAAATGCGAGACCCTTGTTCAATTCGAAGTCAGGTTGTGTGCTCTTTAGCTTCTTTTTCCATGCGTATTCCGTAGTGCATATTTTCCTTTTTCAGCCATGGAGGGAGTGTATCACAAAGTGATGGCTCGCAGCGCTTGACATGCCCACAGAAAACTCGAAGCCTGTGTGCAAGCTCCATACTTTGCTCAGGATCCCCCTTTGATAAGCAGGCACTCTCCAAGGTCTGACGTGTGTTAATCTGTGTGCAGATCTATCTGATCTGCTACCTCTTGCTCATCTGTGATCCCACATCCTCCTCCTCGTCATCTGAATCATCAATCTCAATCACATCTCCGCGGCATAGAGCTCTAGAGCCTTCCAGGCTTTTGCTTTGTTGGTCATGTCGGGTACGGGCCCTGCTGATCTGCAGAGAATTGGTGAGGATGTCTAAATGAATAGAGAGTATTCACAGAACAATCCTGGTATGTTTCCAACAGTGTGTGATTGTATCCCGCATAACCTACCCCCATGCCCACTGCACCATTAACATGCCCTCGAGGATATCAATCTTGTAGACATTGATCTCCCCTGCCGCATCAATATCTATTGCACATGCGCAAAAGGTTTTACGGTGTCTTGCCTTGAATGTGCGAATAATTCCGGCATCGCACGGTTGGACAAATGGAGTCAGATTCGGTTCAAAGAACTTGATTCTAATGTTTCTCGGCTTGTAGTTGATGACATGTCCCCCAAAACTATTGAGTGTGAGGAGGATATGGTGTTTCTGCAGAGACATTTTTTTGTCCAAATCGATGATGTATCTGGGGCAATGTTAGTGGCAGGACTTTTAATTGCAATAAGCGAGATGTACGTACGGTTCAAAAAAATATGCTTTATCACATGAGGGGCAAAGATCCAGGCACATGATTGTCATGTGCCTTAAATGCACATTCCTCACAGATATTGGCCCCCCAGACAAAGATAGTGTGACAGTTTACAAGGCTTCTTGCTACACAGGAGGGACAAAGGCTAGACAAAAAGCAGGCATGATTTCCCCGCAGTGTTCGCCCGAAGGGTGAAGGCCTTCGGAATTTCTGACCAAAAGTTTGCCCTTCGGTGAAGGCCTTCAGTCATCACGTGTCGATTATGTAATTTTGATTTACATCTTTTCTCTTCTTCCGCATCGCGCGCACTGCGACGATGTCCAATCCTCTGTGGGCATTTTTTCACAAGGGAGAGAAACAAGATGCTACCACTCATTTCCGCACCTACTGCAAAGCCTGTGTCAAAAAGTATGCAGCGCTTGCGGAAGCGGATGATGAAGCAGAAGTCCCTCCGGCTGATCCTCCCATCCCCAATCGTATCCCGGCATGGAAACCACTAACACTTCGGGTGTTATTCAGCGGGGTGGAATCTTGTACGCGCAAACCGTCGGCAAAAGTGATGGAGGAGGAGGAATTACTCATGGAGGAGCTGGCTAATGCAGCTGAGGACGAGAATCCGGATGATGGGGGTATTGAGATAGATTCGGACGACGAGTTCCGGGCTTAGAATTATTGTTTGACCGCGAATAAAACTGGCGGCACTGGACTGCGTGAGAAATTGATCGAAGGCCTTCACCCCACCCTTCGATAAAGGCCTTCACCCTTCAGAAGGCCTTCGGAATTTTCAGACCCCTAATAAAGGCCTTCAGGGCGAACACTGTTTCCCCGGTGCCGGGAATCCTGCCCTGCCCTTTGTCTACCCTTTGTCCGTTCTTTGTCTAACGAATAATGGTAATTGAACTGTGACTACTACTTTGTTAACCCTGTGACCATCTGCAAGGAATGTGCATTTAAGGCACACAACAATTGTGTGCCTGGGTCTTTGCCCCTCGTGTCGTCCAGGCCTTCTCGTTATTGTAATAAATTAGGCGCAGGGCCTACTCAATTTCTTGAAGGTGCAAGGACTTCAGCTCAAGCACCTGAATAGGTCATGTGATCAGACACATTGCATCTCAGTGACCAAATATTGCAATTTATTTACACAATTATCCAAGCAAGAAAGTCTGCCTAAGGGCCTGATCGGCAACCCCTGAATTTTCCGCCTGAATCTGGCCTGAATTTCTTTTGTGTAGGATTTTCACACATATTTCGTCCCTAAACTGTCTTAGGATAGAAACTAAGTACATTTACACGAGTTTTGAAGAGTCGAGGTGAATGTGATGGAAGGAACTTGAAATCTGGTGGGCTTTCAAGGGATCTGCATGAAATCTGGGGGAAACTTGGCACAATATTTTTTCTGCCCCCTCTGGCCTCAGATCTTCACCAATATGTTGCATTAAACGCTCCAGGGTATTTAGGGACGGGTTTTATACCCAAAAAAAATTCAACCAAAATCCATGCGTGAATTGACGGTTGCCGATCAGGCCCTTAGTAAGGTGAGTTCCACCTAAGCACAATAACGTGGATATCTAATCTGTTGAATAGACCCTGTGGTGGCTTCTGAACCAGTATTCAGCTATGCCTAGTTGTATTTATCAAACCCTTATCCAGTATGTGAGCTTTCCAGATTGTTGAGCTGTGAACAAACTGTGAGTTTGCGGATTGGATATTGATGCAGAATATGTAGTATCTTCCTGTATCGGCTCTTCCGTTGAAGGGTATCCCAAGTTTCCACGTGCATCATCGAAGTAGACGCAGAGCAAGTGGCGGTTGAGTGGTGGCGGGCCCTTTTGGTGAGCAATTCGTGATCACTTATTGATGATGCATTTGAGCGTATAGTATCGGCTGTTGGTGGCCTTGGGGAACGAGATCTTCGGATGCCGTGTTGATGATTGATGGGTTCAAGTTGTCATCCGCTGCAACAAGCAGTGTTCGCCCTAAAGGCCTTTAATTAGCCGCCGAAATTTCTAAAGGCCTTTAGCTAAAGGGTAGCTAAAGGCATTTGATCAATTTCCCATGCGGTCCAACACTGCTGGTTTTATTCGCGCTAAGCCAGTGAAGTACCACCTTTAAGCACGAAATTCGTCACCAGAATTCATCTCAATACTTGCGTCGTCCGAAACTTTGTCCCCAGCTGCATCAGTGTCTCCCTTCCTTCCTCTAGATCTGCCGTCACCGATGGTCTGCACCCGGAAGTTGTTCTACTCCGGCAAATAATGCCCCAAGTGTTAGTTCTTTCAGGTGGTGATATTAGTGGGATGGCCTCACTGGCAAGTACTTGCTGGCTGCTGTCGGCTGTCTGTTCATGTTCAACATTAGCGTGTCCAATGATGATGACATGACAGCTAAAGGCCTTTATAAAGGGCAAGTTTTCGGCCAAAAAAATCTGAAGGCCTTTATAAAGGCCTCCTAAAGGCCTTTACCCTTTAGGCGAACACTGGTCACGCCAACAAGGGTAAATAAAAAGGACTCGTACTGCCATGCGCAGCACTGGCCCCCCAAAACTAGTGTACTGACACAATATAATTCCACTCCCAAGTGGTCCGAAACGGCTCCAGGTAAGAATCATGCAGGTCCACTTGGAGGGTCGAAAAAAACTTTTCGACCCAGCATCCGATTTTCGAATGCCGATGTCCCCTTGAGTAAGTTAGTTTCCTTATTGGCCTGGATGGGTGCTTGAAAGGTTTGTTCAGTGGTTAATAGGTATGTGGTACCTCGTACTATCCTTCTCTCAATTAATTCATCGAGTAGGATTGAACCTCAGGCATCTTGGGGATGGGTTCAACCTTGAGTTTACCCTGGTGCTTGTTGCTTCATCTTTGATGAGGTGTTGTACATATGTTGTGGCTAATTGTTATTGGTTTGTAGATCTGATTCTGAGGTGGTCAAGTTGACCGGGTCCAATATTGTCTTGGGCTCGGAGTTTGTGTCCGAGGCTCGGACACAATGCAACTCAACTTGGTGCAGCGTAAGTACGGTTCGATTTTGGCTCGATTGAATTTCATTGATTCATAGGGTCGTTCTTTTAGTACTTGGCTTCAACCTCAACGCTGCTCAAATCATATAACTATCCAAACTTTTAATGAGTCTGTTCGTGTGATGCATCGTTGAACTGACCTCAGCTATCCAGCCAATCTATCCAATTCAATTTTGAATTGCAACCAACGGAACTCGGATTCAAGTACCCATATAATCCTGATGATTTCTGCCTCGAAGTTTGTTTACAATCATTAATAGGGGCAGTCAGAGTAGACAATTATGGTCGGATTATGCATAAGGATTCTCGACGGATTCCTGAATTGTTTATCGTGGGATAATCCTCTTAAATCCATAATCCGCCATAATCCTCGAATCGCCTCCGGAGGCGATTATGCGGGGATTGTGGACTATGGATTATGATGATGGAAAATTGGAGTCAAGTGGGACTCCAGAATCACGCCATAATCCGAACAGTTTGAGAGCGGTCAAAATTGAAGGGATTATGGAGAGGATTATGGAGGGATTATGGTCTTTTAAAATTCCATAATCCTTCCCAGAATCCCAACATAATCCTTCCTTAATCCTCTACTCTGACTGCCCCTATTACTTTAATATCGACTTGAGTTTCAGATTCAAGTTCAATCGAACACCAACTCAGCTTCAACCTGCCTTGCAATGGCTTGGGTCACAATTGTGAGCTCTCCATTCGTTCAATTTCGTTCCCTCCATCGCTCTCAGTACTGGGTTTCCGCGCTGCAACTCAACCCAACCTATCCGTCCCGAGGTACGCACAGCTCTCATTTCAATCTCCGTCGCATTACTCACCTTGCTTTCGTTTCGTTCACCCAGACTAGACTGATGTTCGACTCGAAGATCCCTCCCCCCCCCACAAAATTCAGCAGCACCGCGTTCGAACTGCCCAGGTAAGCTTCAACTCAATTTAAATTTTGTTTCATCGTTACTCACCTTGCTCTCGTCGCAGCCAAATGTCGACTCCCCGCCTCAAACCCATAAAATAACCCGCACAAGGTAAGCTCTCCCCGAATCAATTCCAATTAAAGCACTTACCACTCAAATTTTATAGTCAGTCTGCGCCCACGAATGCGTCCTTGGCTTCTCTGGATGAAGCCAAAATTGAATCGAGGTACGCATCCG